ACACACACACACACACACAGTGCTTAACAATTTATTAGACCATCACCACCCATTGGTCCATATTCCTGTCTATCTGTTGAAATGTTGTATTTTTTTACACTAGCATATATAACCCATAACATGACCTTTGTCTTCACTTTGTCTCTCCAGCTCTTGGATTATGTTTCGACAACAATTTTCTTCTCTGACAGAAATGTCGACAGCAATTTGATTGCCTGGAATCGTGTCGTGTTACTTCACGGTAAGACAATAAAAGCTTGTTTGAAAGCTCAGCAGTTTCTGTCTTCTGCCATGTTTATACAGTTGCGTGTCTTTCCTAACCCCTCAGGGCCGCCTGGCACAGGGAAGACGTCTCTGTGTAAAGGACTTGCCCAGAAACTCTCCATCAGACTGTCTGGCAGGTGAGACACCTTCATAAAATCAAAAAGGCAGCTGCTGGGCGTCCCGTGTCATCATTATTTGTGTGTTTCCGCTCTAAACAGGTATGCACACAGCCAGTTCGTGGAGATCAACAGCCACAGCCTCTTCTCCAAGTGGTTCTCAGAGGTCCGTCTCTAGATCCGTCTGCTCTGAAACGCTTCCTCAGATCCGTGTCTGAAACCTCATTAACATCTGACTGCTTTTACAGAGCGGGAAACTGGTCACAAAGATGTTTCAGAAGATCCAGGAGCTCATCGATGATAAAGATGCCCTGGTGTTTGTCCTGATAGATGAGGTTCTCTGTTTTTTACATCATTAATGTTCACTCATGTCTTTTATTTTGTTGCATTTGACTCACCCTTGCTTAACAAAACCACTTAAACCAGTCTAAGGTGGTTTGTTGGCTCTTAAATCTGGTCTCTAGACTGATGGTTTTAGAGGAGTTTTGGGCACATAACAGCTGTTCAGACCGGTCTCCCAAAACCAGCTAAGATAATCAGACCACTTTAGACTGGTTAATAAAAGCGATAAACCACAAGAACCCTTGTTTTACAGTGATAGTGGCACAACGAAGCAGCTCATGGTGAAACATTGTAATTCACATCCTTTAATGAATGATCGTTTGATTAGAATTGAGTCTGAGTGAAATCACTTTTATTGGTTGCTTGGTTTCAATTCCAGCACAATTTTTCCAAAACAGCTTTGATATTTTGATATTCATTGTTTTTTCATCCTTTAACAAACCATTAGTTATAAAAATCATTTTGTTTAGGCAAAATTGATAAGCAAAATAATTTGGAAAAATGCAGCTCTGGGTATTTAGTACAAGTTTTCGCAATTTTTTTTGTTTAAACAAAATTTACACAAATGAGGCATTATCTTATTAAATATGCACTAATTTGTGCATACATTTCCGGAACATATTAGACATGTAAGAGTATTTTAGATATCTCTTTCTATCACTCTATAAATCACCAGAAAAAATTTTCTCAATGTTTTTAGAAGTAAATAAAATATAAATATGCAATATTTCACCACAATTTTATAGACCCAGTAAGTGAAAGTTTTAAATTTACAACACAATTGAGCACAAAAATTTATTTGGAAAATAATTTATTTCAACCACTAAAAATACAGTCATGAAAAGTTAAGAAATTTTGCTATTTGACCATTGAAATACTGTAATGATATTATTAAAGCATATTTTAAATAGAATATAGTAATTTCAATACCACTTAATGTAATTTAATACAAAAAAATGCATTTGTTGTAGGGATGCACCGATACCACTTTTTCCAGTACTCGCCCGAT